CATATTGCTAATATATGCAAGCAACTACGCCAGTTCTCACAAGCAAGCAATTGACAAGAAATTATTACAAAACAGACACTGTGCTTTTTATCTTTCCTCGGAAAGGAAATTAAATGAGGCTCCCTGACCTCTGTTGTCTTTCAGATGGTTCCTAAGTACAAGCTCCGGCAGGAGAATAGAAGCTGATGGATCGTGCCTCGTGGGCACCACCGTCCCTCAGGGTTTCCTCTCCGTAATGTATTCTTTTCCTAGTTCCTTGTCAGGACTCTTGAGACCTCATACTGTCTTCTAAAAGACCTGAGTTCTAGGGTTGGGGAGATGACTCAGTAGAGCAAATGTTTTCCCGGCAAGTTAAAAGGCCTGAGTTCAATCCCTGGTTCCACCAGAAAAAAAGACCTGAATTCTGCAGTTGTGGATTTTATGTACAAATAACATGTCCCCACATTTTTTTTTAAATTTTATTTTTTTATTTGGGGGTGTGTGTGTGTGTGTGGCCAGCTCAGCCCACCAGGGGGCGGGGCTGGCTGGCATGTGGTGCTGGGGGATTGAACCGCGGTCCCTGTGCTTTGCTAAGCTTGTTCTAAGTATAAGTAGGTGCTTTAGACCACTGAGCCATCTCACCAGCCCCATGTCCCCACATTTTAAAAAATGATAGAAGACTGTCCTTCTTAAGGGACTGCAAATAATAAAGTGTTGGAAAACAGTGATTATTACCATTGCTCCGTCCTAATAAAAAAAAAAAAATGTAACATCCATTTCTTCAAAAACATAACAATACGCTCCTTTAAGTGGAAGATTTGGGCCAGGCATAGTGGCGCACACCTGTAATCCCAGAACTCGGTTATCTGAGGCAGAAGGATCTACTTGAATTCAAGGCCAGCCTAAACTACATAGCAAGTCCCGGTGTCAAAAATAAATTAAAAATAAATAAATACATAAATGGAAGATGTCATTTTCTTTAAAAAAAAAAAAAAACTTGTCATTTCATGTCTTTTTATTTTTCTCATTCTGGCGCCCAAGGTATGAAACCTCTTTTGCAAGCTGGCAGCTATCTGCGGAATGCGTGTGCCAGGGAAGCCTGCCCCGAGGCTCCTATCTAAAGCAGGCCATCCATACACATCTCTTCCTTCCAAAGCCTTCCAAGGCTTACTTCCAGGATTTGGTCTCCAGCGTGTTAATGATTGGTAATGGAATTACACCAATGGAGTGAGTATTATTTGACTGCAGGAAAGGGTCCAGCAGGTTAATTTCTGTCCCTTCTGTCACACTCCTGCATTAAAGTCCTTGATTCCCCTAAGGAGAAAGCTGCAGGGAGCCCGTGGGCAATCTACTGCCAGACAGAAGGGAGCACTCCCTTGGTTGGTGCAGCGACCCCTACCGGCAGTTACTTGAACGTTCAGGTACGAAGTAGGGAAATGGAGTATGGAAGGCTTGCTGTGGATTTGGGAACACCTGTGACTCATTGTTTTGGGGAACTTTGGGATGAGACCGCACCCGGGTTGACCACGTTATTTGGGGGACACCTCCGGGAGTGCAGATCACCCGTAGCACAACCAGGAATGTCCACTATTAATACTTCCTCTTTGAGGGGGTCAAAGACTTCTGAGTGGAAACCACTTCTCCCCAGCCGAGAGGCCCCGACAGGACACTGTTGCTGGAAATGCTGATGTGAGCAAGAATTGTGTGGGAAGTTCTAGAAGGAAATGTAGGAAGCAACAGGGCTCCAGCCAAAGAGAAAACAGGCTCCTGTAATCATAGGGAGGAGAGGCCCTGGGAGATCACCCACACAGATACCAGAATCTCGAAGCACTTCTCTGCAGAATTCCTTGGTTCTTCGAAATTGTGTTTCTGCTCCACTTCCCCACCCAACCACATGATATCCTGTGGCACCTCACGTTCTTGCTTGTTCCAGTCTGTTATTACCTCCCTCCCTCCCTCCCTCCTTATCCATAATCTCCCAGGCAATCGTTTTTTTTTCCCCTCTATGTATATCAGCCACAAATATTCATACACACAATATTTATTAAAACACTTGATGAAACCACATGAATGTCTGCACATTTTAATAAATATGCATTGAGGGGCCGGGGAGATGGCTCAGTGGAATATGCACTTCCCTGGCAAGCACAAGGGCCTGAGTTCAATCCCCGGTTCCGGAAAAAATAAATAAATAAATAAATAAATAAATAAATATGCATTGAACATAAACTCAAAATTTATGGGAAATACACCTCCAATCAAGTGGGTATGCCTGGAATTAAAGAGATTGCTGAAAGGACCCTTTGCATCTACCTGGGACAATGCCCATTGTCAGTCTCTGGCAGGTGAAATTGAAAACTGGGGAGGGAGATACTTGGGAAGTGTGAAGCTCTAGAAATTAGGTCTGCAACTACAGGGTCTCTATTCCTGAGACTAGTAACAGGAAAGAAGGGCAGAGCTGGACGATAACTTGTCAAAAAGTTGCATAAGATTCCTCTTGCTGTGGTGAGATGTGCATTGAGAATGAAATTATGGGGTGTAGAGCAAGCTTAAAGTTCAACAAAAAGAGGGCCGGCCAGGTAGCTCAGCGGACCAAAGTGCCTGCTTAGGCAAAGCACAATGGCCAGGGTTTGAGCCTCCGCTCACCATGCCAGCCCTGCCCTCAGGATGGTGGTTGAGACTGGGTGTGGTGTCACACACCTGTAATCCCAGCACTTGGGAAGCTAAAAACAAGAGAATCACTATGAGTCCAATCTAATAGTAAGACCCTGAACACCCTGTAGACCCTTCCCTAAAATACAAAACAACAACAACAAAACAACTTTCTTTTCATCGTACTCAGAGAAACTAGCTGTGTAACTACCTTAACTATCGTGTATGTGTGTGTGTGTGTGTGTGTGTGTGTGTGTGTGTGTGTGTTTCTTTCCTTTCTTCCTTTCCTCTTTTTGAATCTTACACTCCTCAGGCTGATATCAGGTCTAAATCCTTCCTTTCAAAACTGCTGGAGTTCTGGCAAGAAGTCCACAGCCTGGACCTTGGGAACTCTTCTCGAACTTGGCGATTAGCAGGCCCTCCTGCTCCCCAGCCAACCCAGCGAGCCTCAATTTCCTGTTCACACCTCAGGTCTAAGGTTTTTTACTGCTGCCATTCCTCTTACCCTTCCTTTCACCGGCTATTCTCTGGCCTGTACTCTATGATAGCTGCTAAGTTTAATCAATATCCTAACACCTTTTATTTCTAATTAGGCTGCCCCCGAGGTTGGAGCAAGTGTCAGTGAAAGGAGCCCTTAATTGGAATGACAAAGGAGCTTTGTTTGATTGTTAATGAGGGAGAGGATGGAAATAGCCACCTCCACCTCTGAGGCTGCAAATAGTACTTTTATAGTATCCCTGAATTTAATTTTTTTTTTTTTTGGCGGTACTAGGGATTGAACTCAGGACCTTGCACTTGCCAGGCAAGAGCCTCCCCAGCCCCATGCATTTAATTTGATGATGCAGCCTTGCCCCCTCCAATTTGGACTCCGTTGTCTGGAGCCCTCACTGCCTTTTATGTCTCCATAGGTAGCAACTTTCAGTGTTGCTACTCTGGTTTTTTTTTGTTTGTTTGTTTTTTATTTTTGCGGTTCCAGGGATTGAACTCAGGACCTTGTGCAGCCCAGTGTTCCTGTTCTGGAACAGAGGGAGGAGTTCAAAATTTTTTTTTCATGGTCCCTTTACATTCTTATACATTAATGTGGTTTGTATCTACATATACTTAACTGTACTTGAAATTAAAATTAAAGAGTTTATAAAATATTTATTTTGCAATGGAGAACCCATTTTATGTTTACACAAACAACCTTCTAAAAAAAAAGCTGTTATCCCAAACTCAGCCAAGCTAATTGCATGGTTTTATATTTTTGCAAATCTGAAATTGGAATCTCCCAGTTGCTTATACCTTTGCCAGATTTTACCCCACTCTGGAGAGAGAGTGGGAAAAAAAAACCAATCTGTTTATTAGTGACATGATTTTGATTTTATGCAACTTTGAAAGCATTCTGGAGTCCTTCAAGCGTCCCCACCACCTCTGACAATTCTACTCCTGTTCCAGGAAGCCAAATCCTACCGGAGGGGGCAGGAGATGCCCGGGAAGGGTCACCAAAGCCGTGTTCAGGTTCCATTCACTGCACCCCATCAAGGCCAAGGAAGCGCCCCACTCTGCCCATCCCCCACCTCATCCCCCCCATTACGCAGGCGCCATCACGGTGGAATCCTGTACAGAAATTATTTTAGGATTCATCGCGTTGTCATGCACAAGGTACTTTAATGGACAATTCTTTGTTCTAACAGCCAAGCACTGTAACCTAAATATGTAGCAATAGTAATACTCTGCCTCATCGAAGAGAAAGGGGAAAGCTGCGATATGGAACTCGCCTGCATTTTGCAAGCAGAGAACACTAACTAACTGTGTGTGTAATGATCTTTGTCGTGTACTTATGAAAAAGAGAACAATATGTCTGTAACTGGAAAAGGCACGACACGAAGATAACTGTTGGTGACCTAAGGAAACCGGGGAGGGAGGGAGCTTTTTAATTTTTAAAAAACTTAAATCTTCTAGCAATGATAATATATAACGTTGCTTGTCTTTGGTCCTTTATTTGAAGGAAAAAAGAGTTGTCTGGGTAGTGCGAATACGTTGTTTTCAGGCTGTTTTCCACAGCCTTTTCATAAAGCGACGAGTTGTTTTTCCGGGCTGCAGGTAAAGCGCCGGAGCTCCCCGCACAGCCCCCCCGCCCCGCGAGCCCGCTTCCTCCCTCCGGCTCCGCCTACTTCCGTTTTGCCCTTCTCATTGGTCCCCGCCCGTGCCCTCTCGTCCAATCACAGCGCTTAGCGCCAGAATTTGAAGCTCTGTATTCGTTTGAATCGGGCGGGCTCTTCAAGCTACCTCGGCTGGGAGCGGCCTCCGGCGGCAGCGCGGTTGGGGGCAGCGGGGCTGCCGGGGTGACGGCGGATTACGGGTCTGCGGGCCGGGCCGGGCCGGAGCGGAGCGAGAGCGGCCCGCGGACGGCGTCCGACTGGGCTGCGCGGGCGGCGGAGAGCGCGGACTGCCCGGGTGAGCCGGGGCCGGGGTGTGGGCACCCGAGCTGCGGGGTTTCGCGCCGGGGAATCCAGGTTGGGGCGCCGGGGGACCAGGCTGTGCGTGTCGCGGGGTCTCGGGGGGCTTCCGGCTGGGCGGACCCCGGGGGCGGCGCTTTGTCTGCGGGACTTGGGGGCTGCAGAGGCGGCTTGTGGTGCCGCCCTGTCCCGCCGGGGCGCCCGTGGTTCGGTTGAAGCATGGACCAGGCGGCGGGGTCGGGGAACCCCACCGGGGAACCCGGGTGGTCCCCGAAATTTATCTTAGCTCCTTTGCCCTCTGAGTGACACCCACTTTTTTCCCCCCAGGGGAAAAGGTGCTTGTGAGTTTGTCTCTGTAATTGGAACCCTCCTTCCTACCCGGATTAGACTGATTTTAGAAAATGGGGCCCACGGCGCGCCTGGTTACCATCAAGAGGAACGGGGTGGACGGCATCCCCTTTCCGCTGACCCTTAGCTCCTGCCTGTTCGGAAGGTGAGCCGGGGCGCGGGATGCGGTGGATCGCAAGGTGGGAGCGAGCGCCCACGCGGATGCTTTGGGGATTCTTGCCGCTGGCGCCTAGATGCTTCTGCACATCTTGACCGGGTGATCGCTAAATGAAAGTTTCAAAATTATATTTATACGTGTGCAATGTGACGGCTGTGTTGCCTGTTGTTGTTTTCTTTAACCCAGTCAAGAAACTGTTTAACAGTTGATTTGATAGGTGATTCTCCAGCCTGATTCACCGCCAGCCCTCTTTAAAAGACTACGTGTACCTTTGAGCTCCCCCCCCCCCTCCACTGGACATGCGCTGGTCCCTGTGACCCTGGAGAATGAAGGGAAGAGGATGCGCTTGGTAAAATAAAATGGGAGTGAAAGTCCTCTTAGTGTGCTTTGAGATTTTTCCTTATTTCTCTTCGGATGACGCAGTAGCCCTCTTCCTGACATGACAGGCCTGATTACTAAGAGCACCCACCTCATGTCCTAAGGTGTCCCTGTGGGCCTGTGCTAAAGTCCTCCTTCTCTAAGGTGTAACCCCATTCGGGCCTCACTCTATACTCCCAAATCTCTCCTCACCTTTCTTCCAGCCTCAGCTCTTGTTTTTGTTGGTACTTTGTACGAAGTTTGAATTTTATGACTGGATTGTACTCCTTACTCTTGTGCTTGAATGACTCCTCTCTTTTGGGTATTGGTTCAATCATACAGTTGCCTGAAAACAAGCCTTTAATGAGAACTTGTTCCCCCTGATGATTAGTTTTTGGTTTGGTTTGGTTTGTTTGGTTTGGTTTGTCTGTCCTGTTAGACTGAGTTCCACAGGCAAAGGTTGTCTTGTTCATAATATGTTTGGGGGCCAGGTGTGGTGCCTGGCCATGAGTGGTGACTGACTGGTCAGTAGCACTGGCCAGTGGCCAGTAGAAAGAAAAGCTGCAGATTTGGATTCATTATCAGGAGAGAACTGAGTGGTTTTCATAGGAGGACCATTTTATCCCCCAGGAGGCACTGGGCAAGATCTGGGGACATTTCCTCATGCCACTATAGGACAGGTATATGCTGCTAGTCTCACTAGCTGAGGGCAGAGATTTAGCAGGCGGGCAGCAGTGCAGAGGATAGTCCGATGGGGAGGAATTCTCTGGTCCAGAATGCAAGCAGTGTTGAGGTTGAGAAATGCTGATGTTTAGTGATTCTCCTGCGAAGCAAAACCTAATTCTCATCAGTCTCTTTGCTGGGGTGTTCTGGTTCATACAACTGAAATTCTCTTCTGTGGTGAAGGAAGTGAACACTTTCCATAGCTTTCTTTATGTTAAAAAGAAAAAAGTTCCAATCTTAAATAATAGTTATTTTGGTTATTATATAGCATTGCATTATCTTTTTGTAAGATTTTATTATTTTGAAACCAATTTGTAGGAGTTGGTCATGGAACAAGGGTAGGAAGACAGTTTAGACTCTGGAGATTCATAGACTAATAGCAGTGAACTCTTCTGGCTATTTATTTGTGAGCAGGTTTAGGAATCCTCCTCTGTGGTTTTTTCCATGGTGTTAGCTTTCTGCAGAAATACAAGTTGAGTTGTTTTTTTTCATTGTTTCCACATTAGTATTTTTAATGTTAGATTTGAATCTGCTGGTTGTTAATCTAGTGATGTCTTAAAAGAACAATTAAAAAGCTCACATATAATATTTATTGTGTGGCAAGAACATGAGTGACATGTGAAGTTCATCAAACTTTGAATAGCACTGTGACATGGGTCCTAATGTAATATTTTTGTACAGGAAGAAATGGAGGAGCAGAGAGGTGCTAACATGAAATACTACAATTTGTGTTCCATTTTTAAACTATAACTAATCAAACATACGTAAGCTTTTTGGAAAAACGCAGTGTTTAACAAAGTATTTCTTTGCATCTTCTAAGCATAGGTGTTTATAAAAGGTAATTTAATTTATATTCTTGCATTTTCTAATAAAATTATTTTTAGATACTCAAATAGCTTCTTAGTCAATGCTTGTAGAAATTATTGGCAATGCACTGGTTGTTTGCTGTCCCATTTTGTTATTCCATGTGATTATATTTATAGATCATGCTTACTTATCAAACTTTGTTTTATTTTGAAAAACTGAAGTGTTTTTTTAAGAAGTTGCAACAACCAAAAAGCAAAAACAAAAAAATCTTCATTCTTTTGTATTAAGGGGAACCGAATGTGACATTCGTATCCAGCTTCCTGTAGTGTCAAAGCAACACTGTAAAATTGAAATCAGTAAGCAGGAGGTAAGTGTGTTTTGGGAAGTTGATTTTTTTAAATGTTTCGATTCACTTTTATCTATTTTACTAGTTATGCATTTTCCCGTTCTTTCTCCACGTAGGCTGTATTGTATAATTTCAGTTCCACAAATCCAACGCAAGTGAATGGGTCAGCTATTGATGAACCTGTACCGCTAAGACATGGGGATATAATAACAATTATTGATCGATCTTTCAGGTAGGTAACAACTAATTGTGCTAACAATGAATTGATGTTCTACTTAACCAAACTAGTGCCACAATTCAGTTGTAATCCTTTTTAATGTTAATGAACATCAGAGTGTTTCATACTGTCATTTGCAACATGGCTAACGTGAGGACATATGGATCTAGAAATGACATGGGACTCAAATGTGATGGAATTCAGGCCTTCAGGGACACATGATTAGGTAGAAGAAAGGAGACCTGGACCTAAAGGAGGCTGCTGTTCTCATATGAATATTATGAAACTGCATGCAGAACTGGCAAGAAAGCTCAGTGGACTAAGCACCTGCTTTGGCAAGCTCAGAGCCTGGGGTTCGATTCCCGGTCGTGTGTGCCAGCACCTGCCCTGGGGCGCATTGAGCCAGTGACCAAGTCCAAGCGTGGTAGTGCATGCCTATAACCCCAGTGCTGGGGAGGCTGAAAACAGAAGGATCACTACGAGTCCGAGCTGCGTAGTGAAACTCTACCAAATATATTAAAAAACAAAAAACTGCATGCAGTTTTAGTTTCTATCTTTAAGAAAAATACATTCATAGAGAAAACTACAAAGTACGGGTTACAGGTCCATTTAACACAGTCTGAATGCCCTCAGGATTGACGACTACGTTTTATGGACTGAATTGGGCTCTCTACAAATTGGTGTTTTGAAGTCTTAATCTGTACTAATTTAGGTCGTATGTTTGAGACAGACATCCAAAAGAACAAGTACGGCCGGGGAGATGGCTCAGTGGAATAAGTGCTTCCTTGGCAAGCGCAAGGACCTGAATTCAATCCCTGGTTCTACAAAAAAAAAAAAAAAAAAAAAAAAAGAAGGAGAACAAGTACATTAAGCAGAGAGTTTCATTTTCTTTTCTTTTTTTTTTTTTGAGGTACTAGGGATTGAACTCAGGACCCTGCCAGGCAAGCACTTATTCTACTGAGCTATCTTCCTGGCCCAGTCAACAGGTGACTGAGGCTTCCTGCCCAGCCTGCTTTTCTGTAATACCTTGCATTGCAAATTTGACCCACCTCAGTAACCACATTTCCTTTCCCATAGAGATGCCCCCCGACACACACTTAGGAGATGCCTACGCCCTTGTGCTTGCCAGGGAAGCACTTATTCTACTGAGCCATCTCCCTGGCTCAAGCAGAGAACTTCCGAGGGAGCCCTGATCCTATTCCTAGTGTCATTTCAGTAAGATTAAGACAGAGACCCCAGCAAACAGTATCCAGAGGGAAAGCAGTGTGAGCGGGCCAGCAGAGGGAGCCAGTCCCAGGCTATCTCAGCGTGCCTACCTCCCACCTGTGAGCCGTGCATTCTGTGGGGCAGGCTTCCTCCTGTGGGACGTGTCCACGGTGGCAGTCCTCGCAGACTAGTACACCAGCCATATACAGAATGTTTTTCATGCTGTTTATAATTACTGCTGTCTCATCAAAAAGGCTGCTTGCAGCTATACATTGTAGAAGCCTGTCTTGGTGAAGTGCACTAACTGAAGTAATGTGCATGTTTGTGTCTGCTGTAGTGGGCGAGAGTCATAGCATGGAGGGCGTGTTTGTGTACTGAAAAATTACAAGGTTCTTGCACAATTTGTTCATTTTTTGATAGACATTTGAGTGCTGCCCAGCTTTTGAGATGTGTTGAGGCTTTCTGATCAGATATTGTCAATTTTTTACTAATGTCCTATGTATTTGAAAACATGTATATTCTATGAGAAGTATGTTCCATCTATATTTCTGTTAGACTTACATCTTTATTTTTTATTTATTTAATTTTTAAATTTTTCTTTTGCGGTACTGGGGATTAAACTCAGAACCTTGCACTTGCCAGGCAGGTGCTTACTTGCTGAGCTGTCTCCCTGGCCCTATCTTCTTTGTTTTTAATGATTATTTCCATGCTTGTTAGTTTTTAGCTTTTACTGGTTTTTGCTTTATACATCTTGAGGTCATACTCTGGCATACAAATTTAGAATTTTTCCTCCTGGAAATAATTCTAAGTTATGCACACATAACTTTGGGTCATTAGAGTTCTATACATAGAACTTTTTGTCATTCAAAGATTTTTTTTTTTTTTTTTTGGTGGCTAGCTCAGGCTGCCTTAAGGGCGGGTCTGGTATAGCTTGTGGAGCTGGGAACTGAACTGTGGTCCCCTGCGCCTGACTTGAGTTTGCCCAGGCAGGCGCTTTAAACAATAGCTAAAATGCAAATCTGCTTTTTGTCATTGAAAAGTGTCCTCTACCTTTCATAATACTTTTGGTAATACTTCAGTAACAATATTTTCTTTGGCTGCAAAATATAGCTAATTTTTAAATTTATGCTTGCATAATATAAATGTTTATAGCCTCTTAATTGCAGTTTGTCATAATTCCTATAGTTGAGATTATCTCTTGGAGCCTTTTGTCAGATGCCTTTTTTTAAGTGGAATATCTTTTCTTTTTTTTTTTTTTTTTTTTTTTTGAGGAAGTGGGGATTGAACTCAGGCCCTTGTGCTTGCCAGGCAAGCACTTATTCTACTAAGCCATCTCCCCAGCCCATTAAGTGGAATATCTTGACGTATTGATTTTTATATCATTTGAAAATGCCAGGATGGCCAATAGCTCATTGGACTAAAGTGCCTGCTTAGGCAGATGCAGGGACCTGAGTTCGATTCCCATTGTGCCGTGCAGGCCTCGTCCCTAGGCCACACTGAGACAGAGACTGAGTGGTTATGGTGGTGTATACCTGTAATCCCAGCACTTGGGAGACTGAAAACAGGAGGATCACTACGAGTCTGATCTGTGTCGTGAGACCCTGTACTAAATACATTAACAAAAAGAAAAAGGAAGAAAATGTCCCTTGTCTCCATAAATATTTTTTTTAATTTTATTTATTTATTTATGTGTGTGTGTGTGTGTGTGTGTGTGTGTGTGTGTGTGGCCAGCTCAGCTCACCAGGGGGTGGGGCGGGCTGGCATGTGGTGCTGGGGGATTGAACCGCGGTCCCTGTGCTTTGCTAAGCTTGTTCTAAGTAGGTGCTTTAGACCACTGAGCCATCTCACCAGCCCCTCCATAAATAATTTTGAGGACATTTTTATTGACTGTAGACTTCTAGGTAGGCAATATTTGATGCAAGATGGAGATCAGAATGATTTTCTGAAAGTGAGATACTATTTAAATAGAAATCAACAGATGATTAACGATCCCTAACAAAGTAGGAAATAGATCTTAGGTAGAACTTGACTCAGCACTCTGGTACCAGAGACACATCTATTTCAGAGGCCTGCTGGCTTAGATATAACTAAGGGTGCATCTAAATTCAAACCAGCCCATTGTGCTGTGGCACCAGAGTATTTTTTTTTATGTAAATAAGGATAGCTTCTGTGAATTTATCACAGATCTGTTAGAACAATTATTTCTAAAGCATGCTTATATGGTACGGACACACATGCGTGAGCAGTGTTCTAGAGGAGCTTTGCAGTTCTCCAGAGTGCTTTGTGCTTACCCGGAACTACCGTTAGCCACAGTGTTGGTAAAGATCAAATTGTGACCAGGTTGCTGGTCTCCCTTTCCAGGCTTACGGCACCTTCATGGGCATAGCATGGAAGAAGCCCAGTTTTCCTCTCATGTGTACTGAGTTCTCATTGAGGGTTGTCAGGGATGTGGCTGAATCTTAAGCCAAGCTACTCAGTGGTAAAAGTTAATCTGGGGGCCAGGGATATGGCTCAGGGGCCCGGTGCCTGCCTGGCAAGCCTGAGGTCCTGAATTGGATTCCTGGTACAAAAAAAAAGAAGTCTGGATCCCAGCTTCTGGTGATATTCCAAGACAAACCAGAGGAGATTTATATGAGTTTTTAGTGTAAAATGCTTTTCCAGTATATTTTTTTTCTGTTTAGAAGATAATACTCAGAAACAGAGCCTCAAGCTTTATCCTTAGGTATAACTCAGTATCCAGACTCTAGCCTTGGGGTACAAATCCTTAATCTGAATCTGTCCTGTTTCATGCACTACAGGTATGAAAATGAGAGTTATCAGAATAGAAGCAAGTCACCTCAGCTTCCAGAAAAAACACGTGAACAGGTAAGGAAAAACAATTCAGGATTCTGCGCTGGTGCTTTTTTTGATGATAGGCAATCATTTCTATGTAATATGACAAATGATTTCTCACTTTAAGTTGTTGACAAAGAAAGACAGCTTCCTTGTTATAGTAGAAAAATATAATTAAGGTATGGAAAAGAAGTTGAACTTAGACACAGTAAACTAATCTAAAATAACATTTCTTTGTTTTTCAAAATGAGTACACTATTTGGCTTAATTCTTTTGTCCCCAAAGTCTCATAGTATGTCTGATCTTGGAGGCCTATGGTTAGGACAGTTTCAACACATAATAAAATTTGGGAACTGCACTATCTCATGATATAATTTTGCCTTCCACACATTTGTGCACCCATCTTTATATGCCTAGAATAATAACATAGTGAACATTAATTGTGAGTACCAGAGGTCCCTTCCAGTTTTGATAGATGGAAATGAAATTGAGTTCCTATGTGTTGTGCATGAGAGAATCTTTCTGCTGAGGATTTTAGCCCAGAACAGGTGTGCCAGGGGTATAGCTTATTAGGAGGCAGTGATAGGCACGTTCTAGGAGAGTTAGAGAGACGTAGGAGCTTTAGGATCACTCCTGAGAATTCTTTTTCCTACTTTTTAGGACCCCACTCAAGCTAGTGTCATACGGACTGTTGTGAATTCCTTAGCGTGGGAGACTAGGTACATCTGCACTTAGCGTAGGTACTTCGCTTCCAAGTCTGTGGTGTGCAGTTTTGCTTCTTCGCTGGAGGAGCAGCAGTGCTTTGAGCCTGGTGCTCCTCAGCTCCTGCGTGCAAGCTAGTTTTGAAGTATCCCACATGAGACGTCATTTAGCTAGTTAGTGGGTATCCGTGCATAAGCAGAGGTTTGGTCTGTGTTTAATTATAGAACTGGGTTAGATATATGCCACTCAGTAGTCTATGAATTGTCAGTCTTGTATTGATGTGTACTGCAGTGCATTAAAATTGAGTTTGCAGGGGCCGGGGAGATGGCTCAGTAGGATAAGCAGTTGGCTGGCAAACATAAGGGCCTGAGTTCAATCCCTGGTTCCGCAAATAAATAAAATTGAGTTTGTGGAAACTTTCAGTAATTTAATAGGGATCTTGTGTCTTTGCGATCGCAGAAATGTGTGGATGTATTGTGCATATTTTACATTTTATTAATAGCTCATTTTTATTTAGTTGTAATATTGATCTGCTTCAAATTGGAAATAAAAACTCATCTTTTATCTGATAGCTTTAGAAATAATATCTGTAATTTTTAAAAATTTATTGATTTTGAAGAATAAAAAGGAAAACAAATAGATACAAAGATAGAAGCAGGGTGACATACAATAATACATATGTTACAGATTTTCCAGGGCCGGGGAGATGGCTCAGTGGAATAAGCGCTTCCCTGGCAAGCACAAGGACCTGAGTTCAATCCCTGGTTCTGCCAAAAAAAAAAAAGAATAGCAAATTAACAATAGTTACCATAGTACCTATTTTTATCGTGAGATGTGTTGGTCAGATTAACAGATATAGTTATGCATGATTGGACAAATAATTCAGACACTTGCTTTCAATAAAACTTAATTTTTTTCTCTTTTTTAAAAATTTATTTAAAAAATTTTATTTTAAAGGGAATATAATAATAATTGAAAAGACGTTAGAAGCTGTACACATTGAGAAGACAAGGATGAGAGGTGTTCAACCTAATGCAAAAACCGTGGTTGAATATCTGTCATAGAAATAATATCTTAGTGTACCTCATGGAAATAATATCCTAAGTATAAATAAATTTAAAGTTGGATTAAATGAAAAAGTTGAATCCTTTGACTTTGGCAATAACTTTGCTTGGTAATCCAAGTGATAAGCATTTCTGCCTGCTTTTGGAGCATCAGAATTGTATATATGTTAACTCTTCCCTCCTAAAAATCCCCTATGGAGGGGGCCTGCCCCTTAGCTCAGTTCTTTAAGTGGCTGCTTCAACAAAGCAGTCAGGCTCAGGTTGCTGTGGTTCAATCCCCACAACACAAGCCTTGAAGGCATTCGGAGCAAAAAAAAAAAAAAAAAAAAAAATCTCCTATGGGGAAAGCACAGGCATTGCCAGGAGGGGGCCGGTGGGAGTGCTGGGTCTGGCGTGCAGACACATGTGGATGTGCTGCTTCGACTTGTGCATTAACTAGCATGTGCTTGTATAAGCAGCAAGTGGCTCTGCCAGTCAGGACACGGATGCTAGACTGAGCCTCGATTCCACAGCATGTCCTGGGCCCATTTCTGTTTAAACTAATGACAGCGTCAGTAGTTTTTTCTATGGTAGGGTAACAGGTTATCAGTGATATATAACTTCAGCTTTAGTTCTTCATATACTGTTGGGAGATATGTAATTTAAAGAAAGTAATAATAGTTCTCTGAGTTTTAAGTTATATTAAGCCTGGAATTTGTTTTCTATTACTGTATTTTTTTCAGAAGTTGCTAAGGTGTGCTTGTGTCATGACCATTAACACCAAATGACTTGTGCCCACAGCTTAGTCTCTAGAACTCCCATAGGAGCTCTTTTGCAATGAGCTGATAATTAATAAGAAGAGTATTTTCATTGTTATGATCACCAGCGTCTGAGCAGGCCCTTAAGCTGCTGTTCCTGTTTTCCTAATTTACAGAGGTCTGTGCGGCGAGCCTCGAGAGCAAGCTTCTCTGCTGACCCTGGTTTGTACCTGTTGGGCTCTGTTCTTGGATCCCCTGGATCAGATCACCGTCACAGTGACAAGGGAGGGACAAAGGGCATAGTGTGAAAAGCCCTGTCTCAGAATAACACTGGCATTTAACGTGTCAAACACAGGCAGATGGCTGAGTTAGCTTCCCCTGGTGATTGATGAGGTACTCTGTTCAGGGCAGAGTCTAAGTGCACATAAACTGCCTTTTCAGTTATAAATTTAATCCAAGTGCTTTGATAGCGTATGTTCTTCCACTACTAGTTATTAGAAGATACTGTGACTTAATGTATTTAGGTGGAAATGCTACTGTTGTAAGACTTACAAACTTTAAACATTATGTAATTTGTAGACTAAGTAAAAAGTTAGGTTGTAAGGCAATTTGAAACAGTTAAAACACTGAGTTCCAGAAACTAGTTAATCACAGAGAAAAATGTTGAACCTTGTGTTTCTTATTTCATAATTGGTTGTGAAGATGAGAAAGAGCGGGATTCCAAGGCCCGTTCTAACATCACCGAAGGAGATGCTTCAGGAGGGTCTCGGGAACATGTCAAGGAACTCAAGCAGAACATTCTTACCTCAGATGGCTCAAAGGACAGTGCTGCCCAAGGACCACTTGAGGCTCCTTCAGCACATTCAAGACATGGTAGCAGGAATGCAAGAGATCCCAACACTGGGGATTTAAAGGACCAGTCCCAGGTGACTGTATTGGGCTGTGGTGGAGAACTGATACCTTTTCCCACCTCACAGTTTCTCGACAGTGGCAATAAAAATGACTCTCCTTTTAAGATACTCTATCAGTCAATGAAGGAAGAGCTTGATGTAACATCACAAAGACAAAATGTTCAACAGTATCATCGAAAATCAGGATCATCAGCTGCTCGCTCAGCAGAAAAGGGCAGTGCTGATGGTTCCCAGGAGGCTCGGCTATTGGGATCCTGGAAGTCAAGACCAAGGTCCAGCAGAAGCACCCATAATGGTCCTTCTTCACCTGCACCAGAAAGAAGTCAGGCTGAGGAAAGCAAGAGTGACCCAGAGCCGACTCAGACTCCCAAACAAGCTGCACATTCCAGCATTTCTCCCTCTCCTTTGACTAAAGCGCAGACCCCTGTGCGGCACTCGGAACAACGAAGATCTTCACGGAAACGTAGGAGTGAGGACCTGCATGTTGCTATTGGAGAAGAGTCTATGAATCTGGGTAAGAATGAAGGCAGTAGGGCAGTTAGTCCTGGGAAGCATTTGACTAGAAATCATTTCATAGTGACTGAAGTTGAGGATGCTGCAGACCCTGACAATAAACTAGGGAATCTTCTAAAAGTGAGTGGCAGGGGGAGAGGGGGTCCTACAAACATGGAAGTGTTGCATAGAGAAACCCAAAATCAGTCTCTTGTAGGTCAGTGCCTTGCTCAAGTTGAAAGAAAGTTACAAAATGATTTCGAGGACAAGCCTGAGAAATTGGAAATTGGGTGTTACACCTGGACAGTTAATTGGTCTGGATTAATTGTTCTTGATTCAATTTATATCAGCAACTTTGGTGATTCCATTAATAAGTTTATTTAAGTATAAATCTGTTTTCCCTAAAAGATTAATACCTATTTTATATGTAAGTAAGAGACCTTTATTAAGTCAGTAATGTTGAGCTTTGTGGTAAAGAATTTGCTAAAAACTTAAAGAGTACAGTAAGAGACACGTTCGTGTTTCAGCTGAGAGATGAATGCCAAAGACACAGAAAATTACAGCAAAGAAAAATAGAGTACAGGTCATGAGATTAGCATGATGTGGGAGGTCATTCCTGAACACTTGGTTCGCTTTTTTGTGTATCAAAAAATAGGAAGAAAGATAATCATTTTTATTTGTGGTTCAATTCTGAGCCAGTATCAACTGTTTCATACAAATTTGGTTGTTTGGAGTCAATCACTAGAAATCTCTTGTGTGTCATTGACTAGTGCTGCCCATCATGTATTTGTACTCCACACTGGTCTTAGAGCCTCCTACAAGTACTTTTTTAAAATAATCACTACTAGACCTGGGGCTCTATGCAGAGCTGAGCTCTATGCTAGGCTGAGCTCTGCGTGCTTCCCAGGCATTAGCACTGCAGCCTTCCAGTAGGGATGTCCAGAGGGTTCTTTTTATGTGCTGGGGCAAACAGGGAAACTGATAACCCAGGTGCACACAGTAAGCAGCAGAGACATGGCTACTGCAGTGGGCGTGAGAGCTTTGTACACTTCAGTGTTGGACCATTGAAAGGAAGGGCTTGCAGGCGTTTGGATGCAGCCATCTTCATACCAGGGCCTAGTTTCTGCTGACAACCTTTTATGGTGGCTGTGGAGGGAGTGTGACTGACCTGTACTGGTCATTAGAGTGTTCCATTGAGTTTCATATCCAGGAAGTCTCACTTAGCCAAAAGGTTTTTCTTGATTGATGGTTCAGCAAGGTGCATGGTGAGGGCTGGGCCACAAAATGATCATCGTTGCCTAGAGAAGTTTTCATAGCTCATGCATTCTGTTTGCTAGGCAGGCCTGCATCAAGCCCAAGTATATGTTTTGGAAAGTTCTCTCACGTCACTGCTAAGAGCTTGTCTCCGTTGTGTGCTCTTGCTTCAGATTGCAGCACTATAGCAAGGTGTAATTTTTCAACATCTTAAAGGCAATTTCTGTCCAGTCCAGGTAGAGTTTGCTATCTTAGTGGCTTCTCTGAGATCTCGCTAGCCTTATGGAAGTTTTGGGTGTATTGATATTGGAAGAGAACAAGGGTGTTACATTTCAGTAAGTTTTTGGTTGATACATTTTTAGTACTAGTTTGACAGAAGTCAAGTCTTGGTATGGTTTGTGTTGCTCATTTCACGTTCGTGTTCCCTGCTTGATAGATAAGAATGTGGATATGTCTTTGAAGAGAAGGCGTGTGTCCTTTGGGGGTCATCTAAGACCTGAATTATTTGATGAAAACTTGCCTCCTAATACACCCCTGAAAAGAGGAGAGACCCCAGTCAAGAGGAAGTCTCTTGGATCTCATTCTCCAACTGTCCTAAAGAAAATCATCAAGGTAAGCTTGAGATTAGTGTTCTCTTCATACCCCGTGTCACACGCAGCTGGTACACATTCCTTCCAATGTCCTGACATGGTTTGATT